GCGCCCGGGAAGTGGTCCCTCCAGGCAGGCACTTCCTCTGGGCACCTCGTCCTCGCCGTGCGACTGTCACTCCATCCAGGGTCCCCGTACCGTGCCCCTGCCCTCCATTTCATCCAGATCGCCTGCGAGCTCTGCCGCGCGCCGTGCCCAGACCACCCAGGTCTCCTGAGTGGCCTTCACGACCTCTGGGGCCACCTCGTGCGTGTCACCCCTCTGTCCCTTAGCGGGGGACTGCTCCATTCACACCCGAGTCCTTCCCGCCTTCCCAGTCCTGGGCGTAACTCCGTCCTGTCCCACCCGGTGAGCCGGCCGCAAGCGCAGGCTGTCGCTTCGTTCAGTCTTGAGCTCTACGATGTGATCACTAATACCCCCGGGGAAGCGTCGTGGTGCACGCGGGGCTCGCCTCCTCCACCCCACCCCTGACCTTGGCCCTTCCGCCTGGGCTGTTTTCCACAGGTCACGCCCTGTGCCACTGGCATCGGTACAGGAGCTGGTCTGATAGGAGCGGTTCCTGCATCGCCGGTCACAGCAGGTGAGGCCGACCGCGGGCACAGGCTGTCCCCTGGCACCTGCCAGGGCTCCTGGGCCTTTGGGAGCCAAGGGTAAACCGTAGCCCTTCCCGTGGCAGGTGCAGCCCAGGGCGCCTCGCTGGGCAAGTTGACGGCGCGTTCGTGCAGGTCGGTGTGATGTGCGTGTCCCCAGGTGGGCGCACGCCGACAAGCAGGGACCGGGCTGGACGTCGACCCCGCCCCCCGCACCACGGGGCCCCAAACGCAACTCGCGGTCGGCTCCAGCACGCGAGGTCGCCCTGGCACCCGTCAGGGCGGCAGACGTTTCCCCTAATGACGCGCGCAAATCAATAAGTGCACTTTGATCTCGACTACGGACGAAGAGGAAATCAGAGGCCAAAACCAATAAGGACATTACCCAGAGCACCGACGGAGGTGAACCCGGTCACTTTTATAAACTTTTTATAATACTCATGGGCTACTTTCAAAATTGGAAAGATTATTTAAAAGTCCTATTTATAATGGCATCCTCTCGAAATATGAACACAGCCATGAAAAAATTATGTGCACCATTTAAAAAAAAGCCACCGAAGGGTCTGCGAGATGAGTTCTTCATTTTTATTTCCGGGAAGAGGGGCTAGAGGGCTGTTTTCCTCATTTATTTCTTCGGCTTTTCTTCATTTTCCAGGTTTTGCGCAATAAGCCTGAATTGCTTTTTTCGGTCGGTTTCATTACATTTTTTTTTTTAACACAGGAAAATATATGAAAAGCTTGCATTAGTGTAATAACAGACCACAGTCGTTGGAGACACGAGCGTGGGTTTGAGTCCCAGCTCTGCCCCTCCCAGCCGTGACCTTGAGCAGGGGGCCCTGAGCCTGTTCCCCGTCTGTAACACCGGGGCGCGCACCTCCGTCAGACGGGGGCCAGTGAATAACCGGACAGTGTTCTCTGCGGACAGCAGTGCCCGAGGGAGGCAGAGCTCGACTGCCGTGAGGCTCACACCTGACGTAGCTCAGCTGGTCACAGTGGACCACTGACGTACTTGCCCGAGGCCAGCGGCAGGCGATTTCGGAGTTCAGGTCGGCATGGATTTTAAGCATCCAGCGTCACTCCCTTTCCTGTGTTTGGAGCTTTAATTGTGTAAAGAAATATACGAGCTCGCTCGGTAAGTGGCTAGATTGAGGGGCGGGCCTGGTTTAACACCAGAAAGGTCTGGAAGGCTGGTCTCGCTCACGGCATGCGTGGACCTCCTAGGGCTGTGAGTAAGAAAACAGTCACAATACACGAACCCCGACAGCCTCTCACAGGAACACTTGTGACCTGATGACGTCACAGGGATTACGTCACCTGGGGAATGTTCCAGAGACTCTCTCATAGAAACACATGTACCAGCACCTCTAGGAGAAGCCAGCGAGTTGGAGAGTGGGGTAGGGGGCAGTTGCCTGGGTCTGGGGACTTGGGGGACGATGGGAAGTGAGCCTGATGGGTATGGAGTTTCTTTGGGGGATGACGGAAATTTTCTAAACCCGATGTGATGATGGACATGCAACTCTGAGCCCACACCACACACCGATGAACGGTCCACGCTACGCGGCTCGGCGTTTATGGTGCGTGGATTACACCTCGGCAAGGCCATCACCCCGTCTCCTCCCCAAATATCTATCCTCTTTCCCACCAACCGAGAGCGACAACCGTGCCACTGAATCCTCAAACAGCAAACCCCAAGCAGTACCAGTGAGAGGAAGCCTCGTCCCGGATGACAGGTGCACGCGGGTCCCCCGGCGTCGAGGCGCCCGTCCCGTCTTTGACGTGGCCTCGTTCCTGCGGCGTTGTCTCTGATCGGCAGGCAGCGCTGGAAACACCCTGAAACACCGTTAGAAATGCGCTTTTTTGGCCTGTAAAAAACAACATAAACGGAGCCACTTAGCATCAGAGCCGGAGCTGCCACAGGGGACCGGGCTTGCGTGTCCTGCGCTTAAACCTGCGGCCGTTCAACCGGAGTAGCCCTGGACGGGGCGGGGGCGACGCCGCGTGCGGAGACAACAGGAAAGCAGATGTGACGCAGGAAAGCACGTGTGACACAGGAAAGCACGCGTGACGTGGGACGGACGCCTGCAGGACCGAAAACGCACAACGCGGTGGAGAGTCGGCTCCGCCGTGTGCACCTGCCGCGTGCACCTGCCCCGACGCCTCCCTTCCGTGGCCTTTGTCTCGTCATCGGAGCAGGTTTGGGCTCGGCCCGAATCGGCGCCTCCCCAGCACATAAACGCTTGCTGCCTCTGACATCAGCCTGTCATTTTTACATTAACGGGCCCCACCTCACCATGCTGTGCGTCACC